TCTCCTCCCTGGTCCACCCCCTCTGCCTCCCTCCCTCCCTCCCTCTCTCCTGACAGCCGTCTATTCCCTTCTCCGCGTTTCTGCTTTCCCAGCCCCTCCTCACTGCCTGCGGTCTCTCTCAGCTCCTCCTCTGTCCCCTCGCTCCTTCTCCGGGGTCGTGCTCGCTGGGTCCCTCTCCGAGTGTCAGCTTCTCCCTCCTCCCCTCCCTCCTCCCTCCCTTTCTACTCATCTTGCCTGCTCACCCCGGCTTTTTCATTTCCTCTCTCTGTCCCACGTTCCCCCGCCTCTGCTTTCCCCAGAGGGCCCTGGCGTCCGTCCGCCTTCCCTGGCACGCTCCCTCCATGCCCTCTCCCCAAGACATCCATCTCCCGCCTCCCCCTCCCCCTCCCTGCGTCCCCTCACGGTCCCCATCACCGAGCCACCTGCCACCTCGCACACTCAGGACTCTGCCAGCGTTCTTCCCTTCCCAGCGCTGGCCGGGTGGGGATCACCCGAGTCATCATCACCCTGGAGTTGGGAGCTTGCCAGCAGGGACCCGGGCGGGACCTGAGGGGCACAGCCGACCAGTCTGCAAGGCTGTCTGGGGTGGCTTCTGGCATCTATTCTGGGCTCAGGCCCCACGGGGTTAGAACATTGCCCAAGGATTGAGAAATGACCAGGAAATTCCTGCCTGATGTAGTGTTTTCCAGGCACAGCTGAGCTTGCTTTTCCCTGGACACAGTTCACTCCTTCCATGAGCCCTGGGGGGGTGGGGGGTGGGGGGGGAGAGACTTGGCATCTGCTGGTACGGGACCGGCCCCCACCCCATCCCGCCAGGATTTCCACTGCTCAGCATCAAAGGGGAGCACCCTCCTGCCCTCTTGCCTCTCACGCTAGCACTCCCAGGCCTCAGGCCAAGCTCTGGTGACCTTGACTTCAAAGAATAATATTTTAGCCACAGACAGCCGTCCAGGGCTCCAGCACTGCTGTTCCTTAATTCCTCCCACTCCTCTACAAACACACCACCAGCGCAGAGCCGCCACCCTCCAGCCAGTGTGAGCAGCCTGTGTGTCCCAGACGCCAGCACAGCGGTCACCAGTCCCTGTTGCCACTGAGCCTGTGGCTTTCCATGCAGCCTCCCAACCCCTAAGGGCCACATGGGACCTCAGAGACCTTCTCAGACACCTCTTATTTTTCAGGGAGTCAGTTTAAGTGCAGAGATGACAAATTCAAGCTCTCACTCCATTTGACTGGAGTTTCTGTCCCAGTTCGACCACCCCCTTGCTATGGGATAGTCCCAGGCCAGGATGAGAAGCCAGTGGACCTCAGTTTCTTAATCTGTACAATGGGCTTCATGGGCCTGGTGGCCAACCATGGCCAGTGGCCCATCCCAGACCCCCCTTTGTAACAAGGAGAGAGCCTGTGTACATACCGTATCCCAGCCAAGGCCAGGAAGGATGGTCCTGACCCCAAGGACTGGACGTTGGGCAGCTACAGACTTCCCCTCTCCGTCGCCATGCCACCCCTGCTTCCGTGACCGCAATCCCCTCCCCCTCCCCCTCCTCCATCTCCCTATCACCCATGCCCAGCTGGTACCCCCAGCTTCCGCCAGGATGGATGCCCCAGCTCCAGCCACACCAGGGGCTCCGAGAAGGACCCTTCAGCCCCACTCTGAGGGTGCCTGTGTGTGTGTGTCTCAGGCATCCTGGCCACGTGGTACCGCCCTCACTCTCTGCGATCCCAGGCGGAGCAGAGGGAACTCAGGAAGTTCTATCATATTAATGAAGGATGATGCCTGGCAGGCTCGCGTCCTGTCTCTGCATCAGGGATGTTGCAGGAGTGCCAGGGGAGGTGGGGGTGGAGCTCTGGTTCCTGGAACTTCCCTCCTACTGGCTTCCTGCCCCCACCAGGCACTGCTGAACGTTCAGGAAGTCCACGCTGCTCCCATGCCCATCGGGGCCTCAGACAGGCGCCTCCCCCAGGCCTCAGTTTCCCCACCTTTGCCGCTGGGGGCCGGGAGCCCTGGCGACCCTGGCATCAGTTCTGTGCTCCAGAGCAGGCAGGAGAGGTGGCAACTGTAACTCACTCCTAAGGAGAGGACTAAGGGTCCCTGGGGTCCATGCCAGTGTTGGACACGCTCACGCCACGACAAGGGCACAAAGCGTTCCCCTTCCACCCGGGTGCCCTGGGGTGAGAGGTCACCCCAGCTGGGCTGGGCTGGGGGTGGGGTGACTTCGGGGGCGGGAAGAGCTGTGGGAAGGAACTGCTCTGGATGGGTGAGTCAGCACCCTCCCCCTGCCACAAGTCAGGCCTCCCCAGAGGGACCCTGGGACAGCGCCACAGAAGAGAGAGGACAGCCCAGAGACAACTGGAAATGGACGCACAGCACTGGGAGCGGGGGAAGAACGGGTACCTGGGAGGGGGTGTGCTAGGGACTGTGGGTGTGTGAATTTCATGTGTGGGTTTGTGTGACCTAAGTGAGCATCGTGTCAGCATAGTGAGTGTGGTGTGTGTGTGTGTGTGTGTGTGTGTGTGTGTGTGTGTGTGTGTGAGTGGAGGGCATTCTTTCCTCTAAGGTCTCTTTGTGCATCTGTGTCTACTGGTGCGTCCACGCGTGTCTGTTTATTGGGGCCCACCTGTTTCTTTATGGCTGTGTTGGCCCACGTGGGTCTCTAAGCCTCGATGTTCGTCATCACATGGCTGCCATGCCCTTGGGATGTTGTTGGAAGGTTAGAGACGGAGTTCACCCTGCCTGCCTCTAGGAAGTCCTCAAACAGCTACCGTTGGTGTTGTTATTCAGCGAACCCTAACCCACTCACCGTGGGTCAAGGGCTGGGGGCGCAGAGGGCCTCAGAGGGCACCATCTGATGGGGGCGCGGTCCCAAGTGGCGTGCAACAAGTGATGGGAGAGGAAGGTCATAGCTGGAGCCTGGGCAGGCCCTCAGCTGAGTCATTCCATCTGGGTGGGTGTGCTCAAGGGGGCAGGCACCAACCAGGCCAGGAAATGGGACCCGGATGGGCTCTTCCACACCTGCCGGCCAGCGCCTCCTGCTGCCTGCCCAGGCCTGCCTGACCTAAGATGCCAGCCCACCCTGCGCCCGACCCTCTCCTGGCTCCCTGGTTTCCGTCCTTCTGGTCCTGCCCTGGGAGGAAGCTGGCCTCACCGCGTACCCCACACACACGCCACCAGCTGCTCATGCCTGCCAGGCCCGCCTGTCGCCTGTGCCCGCTCACTGCTGTGAGAAGCCGCTGTGTGTCCATCCTGACCCATCCTTCCTTAGCAGGTCCCAGCCGCCCCAGCTAGAGGCCAATTTTCTCTGCCCACCGCCCTTTTCTCCACCACCAGTGGGTCCTTGCCTACCTACTGGCCGCTGTTTCCCTCTCTGGCTCCTGGTGTCCCTGCTCTGTCGCTCCTTTCCCACCTTTGCCTGGGCCGTGCGCCTCACCTGAGGTCCCCTCACTTCTGTCCTTCAAGGCCCCCTTTGAACCCCTCCAGCACCTCCTGAAGTCATCCATCGACTTCTCCCACTCCATCCTCAAACCCCGACTGACCAGGTAACATCACTTCTCCATGCCGCTCTTCCATGTCTGTAAAATGGGGGTAAACAGAGTCTTTTGGGGGCTACCGTGAGAATTACGGGAGATGGGGCTTGTGAAACCAGACTCCCAGTAAGTGATGGCCGTGATTCTGGATCCTTCTGGCTCTGGGTTGTCCCACCCCTTACCCCCGGCCCCTCAGTGCCAAGCACATGGGTGGGGTGTGGAAGGAGGACAGCTGGGTGGGGCAGCCCCCAGCCCTGGGGTTTGGGGTGAAATGGGAGAGAACTGCTGGGCGCAAGCACTACCCCAGGCCTTCACCTCTCTGCCTCTTGGCCTGGCTCTGCCTCCAGCCTGGGCCTGACCCCAGAGCTGACTTCAGAGCTGGGGGTGGCAGGATAGAGCAGTGGGTAACCAGAGGCAGGTGCTACGGAGTCCTACCCGCTAATGACATTATCTGGTTTGCAGGCTGGTCACCCAGGACCTGCTCTGGCGTCTCCCTTCTGGCTTCTCCTCCCTCCCAGCCTCAGTCTGGGTGCAGGCTCACCCAGCCCCCCTCCTTCTCCAGACAGACATTTCCTCCCACTCCCGGCCCCCCACCAGGTCAGCCAGCCCCACTTGCTTCTCCCCAGCTTCCATTCCCCCAGATCAGTTCCAAGATTCCAGGGCTCAAAGGACCTAAATCCCAACAGTCCAGGCTCAAGAAATCCTTACACTCCTGAAGTGCCGAGCTCTGGAATCCTAGCCCGACAAGGGCGCTGGACCCCAGCATCCTGGCCCCGCACTGGTCAAAGACTCCAGAATCCCAGCCCTCCAAGTTCCTGGGATTCTAGACTCCTTTGCATTTCGGGTTCTAAGATGCAAGGATGCTGGGTCTGTGAAATTCCAGAATCCTTCTGGCAACTTCCCTCCCAGCATCCCTCCTCCCCCCACTCCCCACCCTGAGCTCATCCTTGGCTCTCTCTGTCCCCCATCTCCCCCGGGGCTCCCACAGACATGATGCAACCAGACCGGAGCCGGCTGAGAGGTAGGAGACAGGAGGGAGATATAATTACAGCTTCTCTTGCCTCAATTCAACAGGAAGCTCAGAGTTGGGACCCAGGGGACCCTAATCCAATGTGAATAATGGAGCACTTGCCAGACACAGGCACAGTCCCTCTCTGGGCAGCGGAGGCCCAGTGAGCCACCTTCATCCAGATCCAGGGTGCAGTCTCAAGATGAGAGAGTGAGGAGAGGGGAGAGGTTGCAAACTCAGTGGCCCTTGGACCAACCAGGTAAAATAATTAACCAAACCCACAGGTCACCCAGTCTGCATTTCTTTTTTTCTTTTTTTAAAATTTATTTGTTTATTGTTGGCTGCGTTGGGTCTTTGTTGTTGCACTTGGGCTTTCTCTAGTTGCGGCGAGCGGGGGCCACTCTTCGTTGCGGTGCACGGGCTTCTCATTGCGGTGGCTCCTCTCGTTGCGGA